TTTTTCCATAAAAAAAGGGCTTAAATGAGAAATTGAAAGTCACGCAAACGCATTCCCTCTTTTCCAATAATTCTACTTCATTCTCACGTACGCATTCGTAAGATACACTTGTGCTCCTCTGCCAAAGGAACAATCGCCGTCAGTAATCCTATTGATGCCGGATCTACATGATAAAGCTTATAATTTAAAATTGATATAATTTAAAAAGTGATTAGATTAGGTAAATAAATTAAAATACGTATGTAGAATATTGAAAAAAAAATCCGACCGCGCGTTACTTTTTTTAATCCTAAAAGTAAAGGAAACATTGAGAGGAAATAAGTACTTTTTTATGACATTAATGATATTAAGTGTAAAACAACTGCAACTCTGAAGGCCATTTCACAACATAGTTCCAAAATTACTTTGAAGGGTCAACAAGGCATCGGTGAGTATCTTCCCAAGGGAGCTTTGAAGATCTGTCTGATTATTACCACAATAATAATCAGCAAGGTACATAACAATTGTACCGTGACGAGATCGCGAACTTTATTGTCAGACATAGTATATACGCGTATGTCCTAACCATCATTTCGCTGTACATGTAATAAATTAGTTTTAACCCTTCGTAGTCATACTTCTCTAGAATATCATTCTAGTTATACTTGGTCGTATTGACCCAGTCTCGATTTTGAATGGTTGCCATTTTAATGGTATCGGTCCTATCGGGTTCAAATAATTCTGCAACATTGAACCTTGAACATTCTAGAATATAAAACAACTGCGGTTTTGTGAGAAATCAAATGGCAACATGTTGAAAAAAAATCGTGAACGAATACATGATTTACGGTCTCTATCTAATGAGCGCGGGTCAAATTGACCCAGTGGACTACGAAGGGTTAAAATATTGAAAATTAAAATTGATTATACAGTAGAATAAAACAATTATAAGTAGAATTTTTTATAAAAGGTTACACCTCATCGATTTTATCGCTTAAATATGTTGTAGGGGAGGTTCTTCTGAGTAATTCTTCGCAAAAAAGTGGGGAATTAATTTAGAAGATATAAATTAATGTCATATAACAAATTAAAGTTTCACAATTTTAATGCATTTTCTTAGGTATTATAAAAATAATAAGTGAGGTTTGTGTATATGTTATATTAACATTGCCTTAACTACCTGTTAGCGCATTCGTGTAACACTTGGCGGCATAATTATATATTTTTCTACAATAGCAATTTCGTTTTCATCCTTTAAATAAATGTATCTGAGATACGATATAATACATGTTTTCTTGTAGTATTAATGTATCGAACAGGCTGTATTATAAATACAACGATAATAATGTTCAACTAATTCGATCTACATGTATAAATAATATATCTGAGACATGATATATATATAATACATGTTCACTTGTAATAGTATATCGAACAGGATATCAAGGCAAGAAGATAAGAGTCAAACACAAACTTTCGATTATATATACAACACTATAAATTTTCAAGCCATGCACCATTATTAATTCGCCGATAGCTGAAAATCCGGCTGAATAGATGAATCTCGACGGAAGGTAATATTGGTTGGTGAATTATTTCGCAGGCCACATTGAAAGTCGTGAAGACATTTCCGCGAAAAAAGAAAATAATCGCTCTTTCCCTTTGTGGCGCGATTAATAAATAATAATTGTAACAAATATTTAATATTAATGTGTTCGCTATCTAGTTGTCTATAATTATAACATATTTATTACTAGTAAAAAGAATTATTTTTTTTTAATTTTATATAAGTATTTTTGAAACATATATGTTATTTATTAACAAAAAATTTATGAACAAATAAAAATATTAATCGACTCTATTGGCCATTATAATTGTCAAGACAATACAACCGCATGATTTGGTTCGATTATCGTCAAGACACAATTTTTTGCTAAGGATTTGGTCTTCAAAATTGAAAAAAATTTATTAAAGAGGAATCCCCAATTAAAAAGTTCGAAAAAATTGATTGTTCAATTTTTGCATTCCAAGCAAGGTGGAGGACTTATATTATGGACCTGGAATCGATGATTCTATGTAAATTGAAAAATTTTCGCGATTTATTCATTGTTCAATTTTCAAACGCGTTTTTCTCGAAACCATGTTAAAAATCGGTGACCAAAATATCTCGGCAACCACTGAACCGATCAATTTGAAATTTATAGAGGTTATTCTATACATAATTATCTAGTCTTTGTCGTAGGATTTTTTTTTTAAATGACTTAGTTTTTTTTTATCGGCAAAATAAACCCGAATTTTTCCCTAAAAATCGAACCCTTAAATTCAAACGCCCGCCATTTTGTCAAAAATCGATATTTTCAAAAACCCCTACGACAAAGACTAAATTATAATGTCAATTTTAATAATCTTTTTGGTTTTTTTTATTCTGATAATTACAAATGAAATGGGAGTGGTCACCGCGGAGGACCTTTTTTTTGCGGCAGTCGACAGAACCCATGAATACTCCGCCAATATTGAATATTTTTTAATAAAAAAAATTTAACATATTCTTAAAAGTGTGTACTTTCATGTAGAAAAAATACCAATACCATAATTCATATAAGTTTCCTTAAAAAAATTCACAAAAATTGCTTTTTTTCGCGCTTCTTATTGGGTATTCCCCCTTAACAAATTGAACCCTTAAATATTTATGTGAATATAAACAAATAAATCAATTAAGAATAATATATAAAGAACACAACTATCATTAATTTTAGTCCGCTTATTATATTTTATATTTTGTATTGCATATTGTTGTTTTATGAATTTTAGATCGCACTTGAAAAGGGCCCTAACCGTGGGCCGAAACGTTGTGCAGTCTTTGTACTTAGTGCCAGTTAGTCGAGCAATAAACTAACATTTATAAATATATAAAGAGTTATTAACAAATCGCGTCACGGAAATCTTACATAAATGCAAAGTAAAATTTAAGCACACACTGTTTATATAGGAACTGGTTTATATAGTACGATTTCGATGTACTGGGAAAACTTGGAGGACTAATACTTTAATATGTTCTCCTTTTTTAGCAGAGAAATATTTATCTACGTTACATGTTTAAAGATGTATCTATTTATTTTCTAAGCATAAATACATTCGTCTATTTAACTATGTTCTCACTATCGTGTTACTAAATTTGTATATGTTTCATAACCGTGTAGAATGTATGACAGTGAAATAAGATATTGACGCCTTTACTAGCTGTAATTATATACATTCTCTTTTATTCAATCCGGGTGTAATGTAATACCGTCGATAAATTATACATTATATTACCGTAGCGAAACACTCCATTGATGCCACAAACAGTTTACCGATTCTTATTTTAAATTCCTTAGTTCTTCTTTGCAACAAGAATAATATCATTCTCTGTATATGTAAAGGAGTTTTATACCACTGGACATTGTACCTACAAAAATGACTCAGAGAACACAAAGATATCTAAAAGATGACTAAAAGATGACAGATTTTCGGCATAGATATCTTTTCGTTGGAGCTGAAAGTCAACTAAAAGATGATTAAAGATGACTTATATCCCAAGCATTAAATGTTGTCTTATCGCCAAAACTTATAAAATAACTAAAAGACATCCGATATTAGACATCTTTTAGCTATCTTTTAAAATCATATTGTGGACATGTTTTTGTTTTTTATGTTTTATATAAATTTGGTTTATATAAATGAAAGGTTCATGTTAATAAAACTTAAGATTATAATTTCAAAAAATATTTTATTGCAATGAAAAAGTATTTCATTTCAATATGTTACTTTTATATGCATTCATTGCACAATAGAGCTGATATTCGTCATATGTTGTATGACAAGTTAAGCATATTAATTAGCTGCAGAAAGAAGGTCTCGAGTTTCTAGAAATCCTCCATCTTACAGCCAATCGGTACGCTTGACAAAGCTTGTCGTAGGACACACGAAATATCAACCTAATGTATGGTACAAAAGACGTGCAGCGACAACGTAACAATAACAATACTGCCGTTAAAAGTTATAAAAGGCCCCTTGGTCATGACATACATTACGGGAATTCTTGCGCATGCACATTAAAAAAAAGCATCAAGTTTTAGACATCTTTTCGTCTAGTCGAAAAGACAACTATAAAAAGACATCTTTTCGTCATCTTTTAGTTTTTATGCTTTCTGGGTGAACATGACAATCTAACTTGAAATAAAAATTTTTATATTAGTTTAATGCACGCGTTAGAAGCTAATTTTTTCTGCATCAAAACAACTTCTACATTTGCTGTTACTAAAGAATGGATCTCTATACGTTGTCTATCATATGAATATTTCTTACGCAGTAGTGAATACGTGATTATTGTGGTCAATTATAATCTGTCCCATTAGATTAGCTAAAAACATATGTAAGGTCGCCAGTAACGCAAATCCATATGGCAGGAACAGTAAGATATTATATTCAGATGATGCTACCTGAAAAAATAAAAAAACAAATTTTATAGGAATTAATAAACTCTAATATACAATATATGTCCATCAACGACAATAAATTTTCTTCATTTTCTTCTGAAGCGGCTTCGAAAATGTATTAAAACAAAAAAAAACATTTATTGTAATTTTCTTTGTTTAATTTTATTATTACTGTTCTAATGTTTTACTTAGCTCTCAGTTTTTTCTTTTTTTTTTTTTTGTATGTCAATATATATTATATGAAAATAACAATGTCTTTCTGTCATCTAAAAAATATATTTCATTGCAATTTTTAAGGTTGTTACTCATTTTAACGGCAAATGAATTTCACCACGTGATTCTACAATCAAGAAGTAAAGTAAGAAACTAAAAAAAAACTGAAAAATTGAAGGTCATAAATGGCCCATTTTTGAAGTGTTCCCATTTTCCCCACACTTTGACAGCAAATGTCACTACGTGATTTCAAAAAAATATAAGAAACCATGCAAATTTTACATGCCGTCTTGAGGGCAAAAGTCAACCACTTTTTAACAAACTCGATTATGGCATGTCTACCTTGTCGATTTTTGTTATTTACTATACAATATCACTAATAAATTTCGGAGTGGCTTCATATTACATGTTATAGGCAACTTACTTGAAACAAGTTTAAGCTCAAAGAAAACACACCACATGCTAATATGTAAAACAGCATTATCTCTAATGTTGATATAAAGTGCCTGTTTAATCTTCAAAAACAAAATTAATATTATTATGAATATTGCATGAATATTGTCATCGCAGATACAGACTTCATAGCTTGCCGGTGAATGTCGACGGCACAAATTATGCCTTCAATCATCAAAATCTTATTTTTCAGCGTAGTTTGTAGAATGTCGATATTTATTGCATTCTCGATACGATAACTGTAAACATTTAGATCGTAATTATATTACGTAGTAATTTATTAAATGACGCAATTTTTTAGTTAAAAAATTGTTATTTACTTATTGTTTATTTATTTTAATATGTTACTCAAAGATATAAACTTCTAATTACATTTCATATTATTAAGGTCATTTCTGTATGTATTCATACCTAGCGATTCTAAACATTCCACAGATATGATAAATATATGCAATTCCCATTGTACCAATTGCTGTTGCTACAATCGCTGCAACGTAAATAGCTGCGTTCATGTGGAGCAGAATCAAATAAAAATACTTTTCTCGATCGATGAAATACTCCATTGTAAATAGAAATTGATATGGTCGAGATTTATTCGTCGATAGATCAACATTAGTCATATTTAATGAAAATTGTACTACAACGCTAGCAAATAGGCAGTAAACTCCAAGTGCTAAAGAATGTTGAAAAAAATATATTATTTGCTTAATTTACTAATGCATGACATTTAAAAAATTATCTTATGTATACTAATAGTTAGTTCTCTTTTGGATTTTATTTATAAACGCTATTTTTACTAGTAAATTTAACTAATAGCTAGTTCCCTTTTGAATTTTATTTATAAACACATTTGCTATTTATCGCAAACACACGTACGTGATAAATGTTATAACAGAATCATATATACTTAGATATAATATAGACAGACACGCATGCACGCACATACGTAAGCACGCTTATACTCCCATGCACATTGTGCTCGCGCGCACGCACGTATGTGTGTGCGTGTATGTATGTGTATATATACGTCAACACTGAGTTATTATAATCTGTCAAAATTTATTTTTTTTTTCTTCATAGCTTACATATTATATTATAACTTTGATTATATCCAGAGCCAATAAAAGTTGTCTTACTTGTAAGTCCAACCGTATAATGTTTCGCAGTGCACACATATTTTTTCATGATAGCGATTTCATTTTTATTTGTTAGTTTGTTATGGATGTGCTGAAGCTGTATCAATAAATCTTTCACCTGTTATTCCAACAACTCTTGCATACATCAAAGCAAATATTTTAATATCTTAAAAATTAACTAATCAGGAAAAGCTATCTCGTTTAACGAATATTTCATAAGCGATTAACTTACACCTTCGATGTTAAAACAGAACGTGTTATATTCTATTATAGGAATAGTCATGTAAATCATGCAAGACAAAACATTCATTAAGACTTCAAAAGTACATCTTAATGTTAAAAATGCTGTCAACTGTTAGTAATCAATTTTATTAATTTTCTTTTTACATCTTGGATAAATAATAGTTACAATATAAGTAAAGATTAACAAAAAGAGGTCTTACAACCTTGGCTTTGACATATATTATAGAAGTCACTTTCCTGAGTAACCTTCATAAGGCTTTAGTCGTCGTTTGTTGTTTATTAAAAAATTGTTTATAAAAAAATTATTAACAAAAAAATGTAAGAAATATAATAGTTTGTGTCAGTGCTAAGGGAAGTAATTTGTTGATATATTGTTGAAGTATTGTTGATACATGTAAGCGTAGGAAGGGCTTCGATCCTCCTTCTGTAGCAGGGGTGGGGGCGGACGTCAGTTAGTGTGGAAAATTGAAAACTCAAACTGTACAATCCTGTCCAGAGAACCATCCACGCGAAACGAGATCCACCCCACCCTTGCTTACGGACGAAACGAGGTCTATCATTGTACGATTTGGATTTTCAACTTTCCACGTGAACCAAGGTCCACCCCCACCTTTCCGTGTTGAAGGGAGTGGATCGAAGCCCCACATGTGTACTGTTTATACACACATATCAGCAAATTACTTTCCTTAGTACTGACATAAACTGTTATACATATTTCTCAGTTATATTTTGTTATTAACTTCTTAATGAAAAACGAGCGACGACTAAAATCTTCTGAAGGTTACTCAAAAGGGTTACCTCTATAATAATATATTTCAAGATCAAGGTCGTAGGAACTGAGTCCCCTTTTGTCAACGTTCACCACAATATATTTGATACAAATATCATTGCATAACACAGAGTGAGATAAATATAGTAAAAAAAACTTGCCGTATAATAACTTATACATAATGATGTAATTATCATGATTTTCAATATTATGATATTTTCTTACCTGAAATATAATATACGTTGTGAATATAATAGAGATGAAAATGTGTTGAAATCTGGCAAAGTTGGATTGTTGGTAGGGCCATAAGCCGATAATGAGCAGTAGAATTCTATTTACGCTAAAATACTGATCTTCTTTAAGGATCATATCTTCGTGAGGTCCGGAACGTGAATAATTGTTAAGAAGTCCATAACGTACGTTTATCCCCTCTTTTCTCCATCGATCGACTAAACGTTTTCTCTTCTAGTGTAAATTGTAGTGCAAATATCATAAATTATATAATGGGCCAACAGATCGTTATATCATTAAATACAATTTAGAATCATTTCTTTGAACTATGGCTGAAATAAAGCTATCAACCAGACATCCGAGAAAATTCATTGTATTATTTTTTTTCTATTAAAAAGAAAGGTTTCTATGAGAAATCGAAAGTCACGCAAGCGCATTCCCTCTTTTCCAATAACTCTACTTTATTCTCACGTACGCATTCGTAAGATACACTTGTGTAGCTCCTCTGCCAAAGGAACAATCGCGGTCTGTAATCTTATTGATGCCGGACCTACATGGTAAAGCTTATAATTTAAAATTGATCAGATTAGGTAAATACGCGACACT